GCCAATTCCCCTAGACTGATTGGCCAGTGAGAGACTAGAATTTACCTAACTCTTCCTCTCCCTGTAGTGGCTTTAAAGTACAGATGTCCAGCTCTTTACATGAGAACAACTCAGGTCCGCATGCTTGACTGGCAAGTGGTACTCACTCACTGGGCTATCACTGAGCTCCTCTTTTTGTGTTTGTTGTGTGATGAGGTCAAACCTAAGCCTTGGGCTTGCTAAGTGAGCACTCCACCCCCAGGATGCTTGCTGCTAACAGTGTCTTCATCCTTCCTGAGGGGGTATATTTGTCAGAGATTTCTACAGGGTGACAGGAAAGGAGCCCTTCTTGCCTTCCTTCCTCTCTTTATTTCTGCTGTGTTTGTATGGTGTGCGCGCGCGTGTGTGTGTGTGTGTGTGTGTGTGTGTGTGTGTGTGTAAAATACATGTGTCCCCATGTACAGAGAGTCCAGAAGAGGGTGTTTCCACCTCTGGTACTGGAGTCTCAGGTGGTTGTGAGCCACCCGACATGTGTGCTGGGAACTAAACTTGGTCCTTTGCTAGAGCAGCCAGAATTCTCAATTCTGGAGCCGTCACCATTACCTCATTTTTTATTTCCTGAGATGGGATTTTGCTCTCTTTAGGATGGATTAGACCTGTGGGTTCAAGTGCTCAGGTGTGTGCCACAGTACCCAGCAGGATCCATACATTTTGTTTTACACAGTTATCTCTCTAATAGTAGCTGAGTGTTTTATCCTGTGAACACATGTCAATCTGTCCAGTTTCTCTGCTGATGGGTTTTTAAAATTATTGATTCTTAAGACATTCATGTACAATTCTCTGTGTGTAGATTTACGTTTTTTGTTTTGTTTTGTTTTGGCTCCTGGGTTGTAAAAGTGTGTATTTGACTTCAGGAGAATGGTTGTACCAGTTATCTATTCAGAGTGCCATGAACTGAGTCTAAGGCTCACACATTAAATCTACTGAGTCCTCACCCTCCATGGGATTGGAATTGTTGCTTGTGATGTTGAGCTTGGGTAGCTGTGCTGTGCAAACAATAGAAAGGAAATTGCCCTGCCTTGCAAGGGTCTCGCCCAACCAGAGATGGCCTCTTATCTCACCGACTACCCAGATCCTTAAGATTCAGGCAGGAAGCAAATTATAGGCAGCTGGAGTCGCTGAGTGCTCAGAGCTCATGGGGCCTCCTGAGCTGAGTCTGGGAGAAGCCAGGGATTTCTCATGAGTGAATTGAGCTGCAGTGTTTGGGGATGGACAGACTCAAGCCTTGGAATCAGAGACCTCATTTTATCTCCTGGTCCTCACTGACCATTGCGTGCCTTGAGACACAATGTGTGAGTCCCTCCAGCTGCACTGACCTCCACTGCTCAGTGTAGACCAGAGCCCTCCAAGCCTTTGCTGTTCAGGGCTGTCCTACACATAGGTCATGATTAGTCTTCCCATTGAGCTTCCCTGAGAAACCTGACAGCCAGCAGAGATCTCACACAGTCAGGATCTGGCTGGCATTCAGGTGGGGAGGGGCTACAGGTGGGTCATCCTTGTCAGGTGTTTGATGTTGATTGACATGAATCATGGAACTTTAAGAGAATCCTGAACTTACAAAATTATCTAGGAGAATGAAGAGCACCTCAAGAGGTTGTGGAAAGACAGCCCGAGCCTCTTAAGATCTATGTAACCCTGGCTCAGTGACTGTGGTTCCTGTCCCATTTCTCTATAATGGGACACATTGTAAATGACCATTGTCATGCCTGCAAGTTAACCTTACACATGAACAATGACCTGAACTTCAACCAGCAGTATCTGTTACCATTTGCCTGCAGAAAGTAATCCCTGGATTAGACCCCAGGAGGCCAAGGAGCTGCCATTTATACACGTTTCCTCCTGTCTCTTTAGGGCTCCTGACCTTCCTGTGAGGTCTCAGAAGACCATCAGAACAGCTGCTGACTGCCTGTCACACCTCCCCACCTATGCTGAGCACACTGAGTCTTAGGAGGAGATGCTTGGGTGACCTACCTCAGACATGGCTCTCATAGGCTGACAGTCAGCAGGCCACCAGACTAAAGTCAATCATTGTCCCCTTTTGGCTCCAAAGGGAGGTCAAATTCCAACCCAGTCTACAAGCTTCCCCGGATTCCTGGTCCAGTCTGGAACAGAGGTCTGGAGCAAAGCTTCAGACGTTCATCTCTCTGTGAGAATCTGATGGTTTCCTAAGCCAGGTCCTATCTCAGTTCTGAAGGGTTTTCTCAACCCCTTAGATGTTCATGATGAGCAGCTAAGACCCTGGGCAGAGTCTGTCATGCCTGGGCTCAGGAACCTCACCTCCTCTTCTGTGAGTGTGGAATCCAGGGAGACATCCTGATTTATTGCTGTTTTCTCCACTCTGTGTCCTTTACTAAATGCTTGAACCCCAATGTGGGGACCATGACACAGAGTCATCCAGGATGGACAGTGCTAGTGTGGAGTAGGATTAGCTCCACCCTTGACCCTGAGTGCTGGAATCCACCTTAAGTGGGGTTCTCTATCTCTCGATGGATGTGTGAAATTGGTGAAGAATGAAGAGTCTTTCCACTGGTTTTCTTTTAATCTGATGGCCCCAACTAGCTTAGGACATCTTTATTTATGGAAGTTCTAATGTGAATGTTAGTTTCATATCATTTGTCTCTAATCCTTTTCCAAAAACATTAACATAATTAATTCTTCCAACTCCCTTTATTGCATTGAGCTTTACACCATATCATTATATAGCAAACCAAACGTTTATATCTAGCCAGGCACATCTTATTCATATTGTGCCCAAGCTGGCTGCAAACGTGCAGTTAAAAAGTGAGCTATTTAAGCCCTACACAAGTTTTTAACCTTAGGATGCTTTTATATTTTTGTAATCAGCAGAATGTACTATTAAGCTTAGGATATCATTTTCAGGTGTATGCCAATTTGTAAGTAATTTGTATATCACTTTTATTTGAATTACATTCATAAACCTATTTTTATAAGTTCTCAATACAGTAATGATTATCACCTAACACTTTAACTGCTGGGACTACATTTCTAATCTTCCTGGCAGTTTCTGTATGTACTATTATTTTAAGAGACTGGGAGTTTTAGATTCCTTTATTGATATTTTGACATTGGAAAATTATCTGAATGTTCACGTCCTGGTGCCAGAGAACTGTCTGACCTTTTATGTATTATATCTTCTCCTCAAATGTTTCTATATGTTTTTATGTCATCTTGTAAGAAACCACTTTCCAAGTTCTGAAGTTCTTTGGCGTATATTTATCTCTTTTTGGAATTGATAAGCAGTAACCATTAACCTTAGTGAGTTCCTCCTGCTTACTCAGGGTGACTGCAAAGGCAGCCAGGGTGGGGGTGGGGGGGCAGAAAACCACTTTCTGTAACAGATCAGAGTAATTTAATTTTTCTGTAGAGGCTTTTATTCCCAGTAAATCCAAGCATAATCACCACTAAGAAAGCAAAACTAAGAGTCATCACAAGAATAAGCACAGCGAAAGTTAGAGAGGCCTGGAGCCCATGAGCTCCCTAGGATCAGCACAGAGGTCTGCAGTATTGTTTCCCTGGGTCCTCGACAAACAGATGGTATTCTCCAAAGGGCCATGCCTGATAGAGAGCTCCACAGGCAAAACATTTATGTGCCTTCCCCAGGGGTGACAGCATGGCTCCCCCCACCAGAGGGCAAACAGAATTACCTAGGGTCTACTTGCAAATTCACTGATAGCCTAGCATCAAAGTTTGCGATTATCATACGTAGCAAATAGGGTCCAGCATCTTTCAAAGTGACATTCCGGAAGAGCAGGGACCCACTGCGAAATACAGTCTCTCTGCCGCTGTATGCAGGCCCTGTTTCATTTCTACCTTTGGATATTAGGAATCCTGCAATTTCATGCCTCCTATTCACACTTTGTCCCTTGTACCAGTAAACGGTTTGGACTGTTGCTGGCAGATTATGGACAAGTAGAAGTATGCTATTGCCTTCAGCAACGTGGGGCGGGACTGCTTCAACAGTGACTTTGGCAGTGGTAGGAACGTTCCAGTAAGTTGTATATTTGGCTAAGAGGGAAGAGAGAAAGATCTATCAAAATTAGGATCTTTGCATTTGGCAGAAATTTGAAACCTGAGTGTGCTCAACTCTCAGCCATGCTCTCTCTCTCTCTCTCTCTCTCTCTCTCTCTCTCTCTCTCTCTCTCTGTCTCTCTTTCTCTCTCTGTGTGTGTGTATGTGTCCTGTTGGGGGAGGTCAGCAGCATCACCTCCATTCCTCAGGACCCCTGAATCTGTCCCCGGAGTGACAGTACATTCTCAGGTGTCTACACAGCTCACCCCTCACCCCCTCAGATCCCTGCTCACACTCAGAATCTTGGGGAGTGTAGGCACATCTTCTCTGACCTCCTCCTCTACAGACTCTATGCCTTCATTTGCTGCCCTTTCCCTGCTCTGTTTCTTCTGAAATGCTTGTCATCCATGAGGCCACCAAGACATGTCCTTGCTGCTGTGTCTTCCTGCCCAGTAGCACTAGGACTTTGTGAGGAGGACTACTTTGATTTTGGTTTAAACCCCACTGCCTGGAACAGGCTCAGATGCCTGTGAGCAAATTATTGTCCCAGAGCCTGGGGTTTGTTTGCAGATTTCTCAGGGTCCTATGTCATGTTGCTGCTTACTGACTCCAGGTTGAGTTTTACCTGGAGAGTCACCCTGACAGAGCTGTGAATGTCAGTCTTCAGGACATAGTGGCCAGAGCTGACAAACAAAAAACCAGGTGGCTGTGAACTCATAGAGATCCAGTCCCTGGTGTGCTGGGGTTAAAGGCATGGGGCACCATGCTCAGCTGGCTTGGTGTTTTATCATGGGATGAACATGCAATCATCACCAAGCAGGCTGTATTTGTATATTGAGTCATGTTTTTTGTCCTTGTGACTTTTACCCATTTTGCACACTGTTGATAAATTTCCCCCATCCCAACACTATGAAGTAATAAAGGAGGGGAGGTCACTCACGCATTATGTCCAGCTGGATGGAGTCACTCCTCTTGGAACTGACTGGATTGGAGACCTCACACTCATATTCTCCAGAATCCGCCCTCAAGAAAGTGTTTATGCTGAGGGTGCTGTTGTTCTGGGACAGCTTCATCCTGCCTGTGAGCCTCAGACTCTGGCCATTGAAGAGCCAATGGATGGAGACCTCAGTGTCGTTTGAGACGCAGGTCAGCATCACGTGGTCATTTTCTTTGACTAAGGTTTTGGTGACTTGGATGACAGGCAGAGTCACTGGCTCTGTGGATAAAGAGTGGAGGGGACCAGCTGAGAGTCCTTCACCCTCAGAGACCTCAGCCAGCTCCCAGGGACACAGAATGACGTGGCCCTCTGTGAGACTGCATGTGTGTGCTCAAGATAAGGTCTGTAAGGAGAGAGCTGAATCTTCCTCCTACCCAGATCACACACAGTGACCCTGATTCAGGGTGTGTGTGTAAATTTCACACTCAGAGTCTCTTCAGCCCATGTGTCTACAAATCTATGGTGGATGGGAAGGGTATTTTTCCCATTGATTTTTCTGACAATTGTTGTCTCACACTTTCTGTGAATGTGAACACTCAGGTCCCTCCATTATAAAGCAGCCCTCTGTTTCTTTTTCTTTAAACATTTTGTCATAGGAGTAAGGTCACCCAGCTAATCTTAGAGTGTTACAGCCTAGACCTCAGTGCTGGGAGAAATCCTACATGGAAGAAATTGGATTTGAAAAATTTTGTTCCCTGCCCCAAGCATATGGGTTAACACCATAGAGAAGAAAAGAAAGGTTACAGTGTTGAAAACAGTCTTCAACTCTAATCCTCTATACTGATTTTTTTCTCAGACAGGGACACATTGTACATTCCTGGTTAGCCTGGAATTTGCTATGTAGACCTTGCTGGCCTCAAACTCCTGATACTTTAGCCTGTACCTCTCTCAGGAAGCCCTACTACTTTTGCCACCACAAATGGTGACATTTGCTTTTTAAACTTGAGAAGAGTAAGGGAAGGAGCATCATCAAATAGTTAGTGACATGGTTCACCCTGACTCAGAGCAGGGCACCCAGGAACCTTCTATACCCATTCTTCCCACCTCACCTAGTCAGAGCCTAGCCAGTCACCGGAGAGACAGGCAGAGCTGGTTCCCATCCGTGGGGAGTTTTCTCTCATTTGGAGAAAAAGAATGTGAGCACAGTTGAAAGCCCTGGGTGTCGTTCTAGGTCATGGCGACCATAAGAAGAAAATGGAGGGGACAGGAAGGCTTGTGTTAGTGACAGAAAGAAATATGGACCTTAGGACTGTCCCTCCCCTGAGAGTTCCCTCACACAACCCGAGGGTTTCCATGGCTGGGAGAACCCCCTTCTCACATTCCAAGCTCTACTCCGTCAGCTAGGAGAGGTCAGAGAAGCAGGAGACCATTAGACATAGGGATGGAGCAGAATGCTTGGGGAGGATTGAGTTTTTCTTCTTTCCATAGACAGGGGATAGAAACTAAATCCTCCTGCATCTTCCCAGAAAGCAAAACGATTCCACTCCAAACCTGGTGCTGATACTGCAGAGATTCACTTACCAAGGACTGTAATGATCTTGACTGTGGTCCTATTGAGGCCAGTGACAGAGTTATGGACAAAGCAGGTATAGGACCCACTATTATTAGTAGTGATGTCGGGGATAAAGAGCTCTTGGGAGGATGCCTGGAGCACTCCATTGACAAACCAAGAGTATCGTGCTGGTGGGATAGAGTCTGCTTCACAGGAGAGGCTGAGGTTTGTCCTTGAATGGAAATGAGTATTTGAGGGAGATATGATGGGGTCATCTGGACCATCTGGAGCAAACAGAAGAAAGCCACATGTGATGTCAGCAGAGGGAAGGGGAAATCCTGGTCTGCAGAAGGCCATGGTATCTCTCTGAGTTGTGCTATAACTCAGTTGAGCAGGTTCCACCCAGAGCTGTGTGCAGATTAGTAGAAGATTATTCATGCAGCATGCACAAGCCCTGACCCATCCCCAGCACAGCACACAAACAGCCCCACTGTACACTGACGTGTGCACTGAGCCTGAGTCTGAGATGTCCCTTGTCTCCATCACCCCGAGCCTCTCTAGACAGGAGAATTCCCTCCATTCCATTCTAGTTAATGCTAGGCCTGGCTGCATGTGCTTGGGCTAGAACAGGATGCCATGGCTAGGCTAGGTTTCTGTGTAGTGGCTCTGTGTCATGGAACCATGGTTACTGAGTGTCTTTCTCTAGCCATCTGTATTTACTCTATTGGAGCTAGGATGAAACAGAAAATACTCACAGGAAATTTCCAGATAAAACGGAAAACTTCGGGAAATGGTCACTGGGTTGTGGACTTCACACTCATAGGGTCCTGTGTCATTCCTCACAATATTAAGTAAAGTGAGAATTCTGTTGTCGTCAGACAGCTTCCTCTTGCCATCTTCTGTGATGTTTCGGCCATTTATCCTCCACAGGTAGATTGTATTATTTATCTTAGGCTCACACGTTAATTTATTTGAGGACAGACCTTCCCAAACAGTGTCAAGCAGGCTTGTGACTTTGACGTTTGATAGATGTGCTATGCAAACAAGAGAAAGATGATTGCACTGTCGGGTTCCTCTGATTTTCAAGGGCCTCTCCCAACCAGAGATAGTCCCTTATCTCCCCCATACCCAGATCCTAAAGGAATCAGGCAGGAAGCAAATTACTGGCAGATGGAGTAGCTGAGTGCTCAGAGAAATTACAGGCAGCTGGAGTCACTGAGTGCTCAGAGCTCATGGGGCCTCTTGAGCTGTATATTGGAGAAGCCAAGGCTTTCTCGAGAGTAAATTGAGCTGAAGTGTTTGGGAATGGACAGACTCAAGCCTTGGAATCAGAGACCTCATTTTATCTCCAGGTCCTCACTGGCCCACTGTGTGCCTTGAGACACAATGTGTGAGTTCCTCCAGCTGCACTGACCTCCACTGCTCAGTGTAGACCAGAGCCCTCCAAGCCTTTGCTGCACAGGGCTGTCCTACACATAGGTCATGATTAGTCTTCCCATTGAGCTTCCCTGAGAAACCTGACAGCCTGTCAGAGATCTCACACAGTCAGGATCTGGCTGGCATTCAGGTGGGGAGGGGCCACAGGTGGGTCATCCTTGTCAGGTGTTTGATGTTGATTGACATGAAAGATACCTGAGTCTACGAAATGATCTAAAAGACTGTAGGGCTCCTACTAAGGTCTCCACTGTGGGGAGGATGGAGATGCTGCTGTGGACAGAGATTGTGCCTCCCATAGACTTTGTGACCCTGGCTCAGTGACTGTGGTTCCTGTCTCAGTTTCCCTATAATAGGACCCATGGTAAAGACCATTGCCATGATTGCAAGTTAACCTTAAAGGTGAACAGTGGCCTGTTCCCATATGTTCCCATATGTATGCAGGTATCTGCTCCCATATGTATGCAGGAAATAATCCCTGGATTAGACCCCAGGAGGCCAAGGAGCTGCCATTTATACACGTTTCCTCCTGTCTCTTTAGGGCTCCTGACCTTCCTGTGAGGTCTCAGAAGACCATCAGAACAGCTGATGACTGCCTGTCACACCTCCCCACCTATGCTGAGCACACTGAATCTCAGGAGCAGATGCCCGGGTGACCTACCTCAGACATGGCTCTCATAGGCTGACAGTCAGCAGGCCACCAGCCTACAGCCCATCATTGTCCCCTTTTGGCTCCAAAGGGAGGTCAAATTCCAAACCTGTCTACAAGCTTCCCCGGATTCCTGGTCCAGTCTGGACAGAGGTCTGGAGCAAAGCTTCAGATGTTCATCTCTCTGTGAGAATCTGATGGTTTCCTAAGCCAGGTCCTACCTCAGTCCTGAAGGGTTTTCTCAACCCCTTAGATGTTCATGATGAGCATCTAAGACCCTGGGCTCAGGAACCTCTCCCCCTCTTCTCTGAGTGTGGAATCCAGGGAGACATCCTCACATATTTCTGTTTTCTCCACTCTGTGCCCTTTACTAAATGCTTGAACCACAATGTGGGGACCATGACACAGCGTCATCCAGGACTCACAATGCTATGTGTGAAATAGGATTAGCTCCACCCACAACCCATAAGTTATAGAGAATAACTTACGGTGTACATAGAAGTGCACAGATGAACTCCATTTATGACCATCTTCCATTATTGTAATCAGGGTGTACAGTCCTGTGTCTTTCTGAGTGACGTATTGGAAGAGCAGGGATCCGTCGAGGCTTACATTTATTTTGCCAATGTATGCATTGCCTGGTTTATATTTTTTTTGGGGTATTAAAATTTTTACAATTTCATTGGATTCATTCGTAGTTCTTCCCTTGTACCAAGACAAGACTTGGACTTTTTCTGGTAGTTTGTTGACCTGTAGAAGAACATTTTCTCCTTCAGCAACATGGGATGGAATGGCTTCAAGAGTGACTTGGGCAGTGGCAGGAGAGTTCCAGTAGGTTAGAAGTGAGGCTAAGAGAGGAGAGAGAAAATCGATCCATGTTAGAAACTTTGCAATTGGTAGAAATTTGAAACCTGAGTGTGTTCAACTCTCAGCCATGCTCTCTCTCTCTCTCTCTCTCTCTCTCTCTCTCTCTCTCTGTCTCTGTCTCTCTCTCTCTCTCTCTCTCTCTCTCTCTCTCTCGTGTGTGTCCTGTTGGGGGAGGTCAGCAGCATCACCTCCATTCCTCAGGACCCCTGAATCTGTCCCCGGAGTGACAGTACATTCTCAGGTGTCTACACAGCTCACCCCTCACCCCCTCAGATCCCTGCTCACACTCAGAATCTTTGGGGAGTGTAAGCATGTCTTCTCTGACATCCTCCTCTACAGACTCTGTGCCTTCATTTGCTGCCCTTTCCCTGCTCTATTTTTTTTTTTTGAAATGTTTGTCATCCACGAAGCCACCAAGACATGTCCTTGCTGCTGTGTCTTCCTGCCCAGTAGCACTAGGACTTTGTGAGGAGGACTACTTTGATTTTGGTTTAAACCCCACTGCCTGGAACAGGCTCAGATGCCTGTGAGCAAATCATTGTCCCAGAGCCTGGGGTTTGTTTGCAGATTTCTCAGGGTCCTATGTCATGTTGTTGCTTACTGATCCCAGTTTGAGTTTTACCTGGAGAGTCACCCTGTCAGAGCTGTGAATGTCAGTCTTCAGGACACAGTGGCCAGTACTGATAAACTTACAAGGGGGAGCAACTGAGTTTTCCCTCCCCACTCACCAGTTCACATTCACTGGGAGCTTCCTGTTGCTCTCGGGCTTCAAGCAGAAGCCAGATGGTTCTTCTTAGGCTCTTTCCCTCTCCCCAAGACTCCCCCCCCCAGTCTCTGAGATCCTCTGCTCGCCTCACCTGCAAGCAGGAGTCCCCTCCAGGGAAGCTGCCCTTTGTGGAGAGGGGCTGAGGTGAGCTCCATGGTCTCTGCTGCCTGCTAGGCTCTTCCTCTGAGAGGAGGTTTGCCTCTCAGGCTGCTGTCAAGCCTGGCTGCTCTGGTGTCTGCTCTGCTTTTCTTCCCAGGCCTGAGCCTCCTCCCAGAGGAGGGCACCTCCTGGAGTCACATGACTCTGGGGTGGATTCTTTGTGGCAGTCCTGCCTTCCATCCTTCTATTCCTTTCTGGTTCAGTGTTCTAGAACACACTTTTAGCCACAAGACTGATACATGTCCTGTGTTCTGAGAGACCAGCACTCACCCCAGGGCTGCCCTCTGCTGTGTCCTGGCCTTGTCTGTTAGCACCAGAGGGAGTCCCTGCACTTCCATAGGCAAGAGTGTATTTCCTTGTGACACAGAAACCCATCCATCCCAGCCTGCGCAGTGTTCCCAAAGCTCTGGGAGGGTGGCAGCTCCTCTGGCCAGGGAGTAGCACTTAACTCTAGATGTTAGAAAAGTTCTAGCTGAGCAATGACTGTGAAGGGCCAGGCCCATTGTCACTGGTGTCACCAGTCACGTGTCTGAGCAGGATACAAGTTAGCTCAGGGGTTGTATATCCTGGTGTGCAGGAGAGGTGGCGTGTGTGTCCTAGAAAGAGGGCTGTGTTCTTTGACTTCTTATGAACGGCACCAGGGAGACACCTCCCACCACCACCCTCACACACACAAACATACCCAGCCTCCTGTGTTGGCTAAATGTGATCCAGGTCTGCCCATGCCCTCCCTGAACTTTCTGGGATGCCATTCTTCTCCTTGGTGATTTTCTGTGATCTCCCTGTTTTTCTTTGTGGATGACGAGAGGAGGGAGGGGACGGCCTAGGTCTCCCTGAGGAGTGGGCTTCTCAGAGACACAGGAAATGATTATTGAGGCAGCTCCAGCTCTGTTGGAACTGGGATACCAACAAGACAGCAAGATGACCTCACACCTCCAGGAGCAGTTTCCCTGTTGATATGTGGTTTATTGTCGCCCCCTGGTGTTCATGAGGCTGCAGCTCATGTCTGGGCTGCGACAAGGATGGGCGCCAAGCTCCAAATGCCTTAAGGAGCTGAGCAGTAAGTTTCCCAGGAAAGGTCCCAGTGTGCAGCTGCCTTGGAGGATCTAGATTTTTCCTGAGGTGAGAGTATAATAGCTAAGGTTTTATTTTTATGCATATATATTTATTATTTTTTCTTATTTTACATATGGATCTGGGTTCCCTCTCCCTCCCTCCCATGTGCCCAGACTCCCCTCCTATCACACATTCCCCACTCCACAGGGAGGGTGAGGCCTTCCAGGAGGGATCATCAAAATCTGTCAAATCATTAGGAGTAGGGACTAGGCCCTCCCTCCTGCCTCTAGGATAAGGGAGTATCCCTCCATGGGGAATGTGCTCCCAAAGTCCTTTCCTGCACCAGAGATACATCCTGGTTCCACTGTCAGAGGTCCCTTAGACTGCCCAGGCCTTCTAATTGGGACCCACGTTCAGGAGGTCTGAAACGGTGTAATGCTGGCTTATCAGCTATCAGTCTGGGGGTCCATGAACTCAGGTCAGCTGTCCCTGTGGGTTTCTGTAGCCTGGTCTTGACCCCGTTTTCTTTTTCTTTTATTCTGTTTTTTTTATTTGAATTATTTATTTTTTATTTTACATGTCTATCCCAGTTCCCCCTTCCTTCCTCCTTCCCGCTCACCCTCTCTGCCCCCTCACATGCACCCTGACCACCATCCCCTCCCATCCCCCAACCCCAATTCCACATGAAGGGCAATGCCATCCAGGTGGTTGACCCCATTTTCTTATCACTCCTCCCTCTCTGCATCTGGATTCCAGGAGTTCAGCTCAGTGTGTTAGCTCAGGTTTAATAACAACTGCCATTTGATCTTCAGTCCCATGAAGACTGGTGATGTTGATCCCCCTTCCCCATGTTTTATTAGCTTTTATTGCATGTTGTTCAAGGGCAGGAACATAAAAGTCCATTGCTCACACTGAGATAATTTTATTCCGATGTTCAAATTTTAAATGCATTCACTAACAATAACACCTTTGAGAATTATAAAATGAAAACCAAATCAAACCCTACCAGCTTCTCAGTGTGGAATGCCCCGACCTGCTGGAGGTCAACAACGAACCCGAGAACTCCTAGGAGAACAAGGGGATACAACGTAGGACGGAAAGACTGTACTCTGATCAAGCTGACAAATTTATTTTCTCAGGGGAGGCTTGTATAGGACCATGGGCAGGATGTGAGCAGGGTTTTCACGTAGCCAGAGCATATTATCCAGGACCTGTTGTGTAATGGCCAAAGCCATGAGCCCGAATCACCACCATGAGGCCAGCTCTGATGCAAACAAAGAGACTTCATTGGAGAGTTAACATGGGTCCCTTTGTCCTTCCACAGTGGTGGCTGTGATAGCTGCAGCAGAGGAGGAGAGGCAGGAGCAGCAAGGGAAAGGGGTTTATGGAGGGTAAGGCTTAGGGAATTCCAAGCCTCCTGGCTTGTGATTGGCTGCCCCCAAGTGGCAAGGGGAGTTCCCTGCCCCAGGGGATTCCAAGCCTGCAGGCTTGGGATTGGTCAGTTCCTGCTCAGGGATTGGCTGGTTTTATGTCAGGGCAGAGATGGCTCCAGTTCTAGGAGTAAACTATGTTTCTTTCTATGGTTCTTTTAGGCATTTAGGACCTGAGAGAATTTCTTTTTCAGGTTCGGTTTCTAGGGGCAAAGTATGATCTTTTGGTACTAGTTTCAGAGTTAGGGTGGTTTTCCCTTGCTCTAGGCTTAGCGATAAAGTGTCTTTTCTGCTGGCTTGTGTTCTGAATCCAGGGTGTGTTTCTTTCACTGGGTCAGGACTCAGGACCAAGCCATTCAGGGATTGTGTAGGGGCTGTGATTCAGGGGCCCGCTGGGCTCTGGGTCTTTCACTTGTTCTAGCTGATCCCCAGGATCATGTGCTGCAGCTCTTCAAGTACCTTAGAAGAAGAGTCAAAGTCTCAGCTTCCAGGAAAGGCAGGGAGTAGGTATGGACAGGCCTCTCAGGACTCTGCGTGTAAATTCCAGGTTTTAGTTTTTAGGGCATTCATTCACCCATTTTTGAAAGCCATTCTTTTTCCTCTATCATAAAGTGTTGAGTGTTGGCTACACAGTTTCGTGTGCACGTTTCAGGGTCCAGTGGGAGAATCAGAGTCCTCTCCTTTTCCTCCGGCCAGACTGTCACGGGCACAGAAGAAACATGGGATTTCTAGTCTGGTGATGGGGCTGTGGGTTAGGGGATTCTGTTGTGTCCAGTGATTTGATTCTAGAATCAAAATTTATTATCCACTTGCTTTCACTTTCTGGACCAGACATACCTTCAAGCTGCTGATGTCCAACCCCCTCCCCCACCTTCTCTCTGGTCCAGAGAGACCCGCTGAAGAAGGTGGGGCTGCTGGCATGAGAGAGAGGTGTCAGGTGACAGGGCTTGGGCTTTTCCTAGGGGCCGTTGAGGACATTTGTAGTTCCCGCGCTACAATCTGTTCCATGAATTGGGCGAAGGCCTAGAGATTGAAATAAAGACAAGACAGCGGGTCATTCGTTCAATGGCAAAGTCGGAACACCAAATGTCGAATGTCGTTTATTGAGGGGCAAGAACGGGCTTAAATACCGACTTATAGCACAGTGGAAAATTACAGGAATTTTTTGGCTTAGCTCCTCCCTGTGTTGTCACGAGGTTTGGTTGTCACGGGGTGTGTGTCACAGGAAGAGTACCAACAAAAGCCTTGGGGCAAAGAGT